TGTGCACGCTCTCGTGTCTGCGGAACATAATAGGCCTATCAAAAATGATTATCAAAGTAGCTCATCAATAACAATCAATCAACAAGGACTCACAGAAATTGTAGTGATACAGAAGAATGTTTTCTCGTCTGTATCCGGCTTGAGATCGAGTGGATTGTCGAGTTCAGGTTGAGATAAGTGGCCACCAGATAGATGCACAGAGAGATACTCACCCAGATCAATATAAATGTCGGAATAGTAGGAAATTTTCTTGTCGTGTATATAGAACGTATTCGATATCATTGCATTCGGATCGACTTTGTACTCGTCGATGAGATATTGGATGATGCTGTAACGAAAATAAAAAACAACAAACATTCGCTAGATTGATTCATTAAATTAGGACGAATTTAGATGCTCCTCAATCGAATACAAGCCATTCTCTTATGTTACCATGTACATCTGCTCGCATAAAGCATTGGATTCAACTACGTATCAAGAATTTTATGTCAATTTCCTATAATAACTTCTACGAAATACTTGCCTTGTTGTATGAGCTATAGCTGCTGTGACATTATTTTGGTGATATTGACACATATTTGCATTCATACTACACGGCAATACTTTATACTTGATGCTGAAGAATCGAATCGGATGAATATTGCCGAGCCCTGCCATTTCCATGAGCAATTTTTCATGGTTTACTGTTGTTTGTGGATCGATAAAACCGTGATAGTTGGGTGTGATTTTCACTGAAGATGATGCCATGATGATTCTACGAATAGTAAGAAACTACACACAGCAAGGAACGGACATGTATATATATATATATACGTGTCGATATGAAAGCTAAGATCAATCATCCTCAAGCGTCATTACCGTTGGTTGTGCAAGAATGTTTTTTTTGTATCATTCGGGAGTATATTTGACGAAGAACAGTGATAAAACTATAACGACAGATGAAGTCTATCTCGTTTGAGAATTAATAAACACGAGGAATTCAATGAGAACCGTATATGAATGGTGCATCGCCGAACAGTGATTCTTCTTCGTCTTTCTTCTTTATTTATCCTTTGTCAGCGGAATGAAGAAAGAGACCCGCAAATGATTCAGAGCACGTTGTTATCTTGCTTCTTCTCTCGTCGTATAAGGTAGAAGAAAAATAAAGAACAGAGAAAAACAATGTTCTGGTGGTGTTGTGCAAAGTAATCAAAACAACAGACTGCTACTAATTTTATGGATGTAATCATAAAACATTAAAAGTGATTGAAACATTGCTGGACATTTTGATTCAACCACGCAAAACTCTCTTCTTATTTATTTATCGTTCGAGTATCTTTGGTGCGTCAAATTATTGGCTCAGCAATCTATTCTGCATAGAAAACATCGACGAAAGATTATTCATTACGCAGCATTCGATAATTCTGCCCCAATATTCTATTCAATTCAATGGTTACACGATGGAAAATCATTCGAAGCAGTAAGTGTTACTATTAGACAAGGCGGTCGGATTGTTTTCAATGTGACATGGCTTTTCATAAACAGGAAAATGGTTATCTAGAATATCAACAACCTACCCCTATTTGTATTCTAGGTGTTCCACTACTATAAAAAGTTATCTTTTCTTTTAATGTAATAACAATCTCTATACTATTGCAATCGGCTTGGTTTTCTTCAACCGGAACTGAAATTGTCGCCAGAAAAATTACTTTAGACGAAACCAATGGATTGTTTACCCGATCATGCATATCTACAGTGAGCGACCGTTGCTTATGCTAGTACTACTGACGATCCTATCAAACCAATTCCACACAGTTCAATACTCTACCGATGCTAGGAAAAAGTACCTGCCCGCACTGATGATTCGTTACTGTACGACTTGGTTATTCATCTAATTGTGATCAATAATCAAGCATTGGCATACGGTCAAGTTTGAACTCGTAATGGTTGATTGGTCATTGCCTCTGCTCAAGAAGGTGTCATTTGATGCGTATAAGTTGAATGAAATAGTCAATTCTAAAAGTATTCCAATAATTAATCTGTAGCCAATATTCCACTTAGTTTTTTTAACGTTGAAATAAAATTCTCAAGACTCCAAGTTGAACTAATCGTGATGAAAAAATAGGATAAATATCTGACATAAACATAGGCATATTAAAAGAAAAAAAGAAGTATCGACAGATCAAAGTTGTTTGGTGAACATATGTATGCATCCATCAGAACTGCTATCGGTAAGAATCAGTTATATTCAATGGGTTGTATTGATCGATGAGAATGAATTTAGGTTTTCACTAATAAATGAGAAGAGTATTTAACTATTCGTATCGACGATGGTGATCTAAATCGGATGTGAGCGTCATCATTGATAATTAACGAAATACGGAACTAATTGCAAACAGATTTCACATGAATATCAATTAGAATCGAGAAGCAGAACATTTTTGAACATGCGATAAGATTCAACTGTGAAAGTTGTTACAAAACGATTGAAATGATTACCATGATAGACGCGTTTTGATGGTCGAACATAAAAACATATCTTTTTTTGTAAGAGAACGAACTGAAACTGAAAAAAGGTAATACGCGCATAATCAATAATTAAAAAATTCGATACCTACGCTCGATGATCATCTCGTTCAATTATGGCAATATGTGTACCAACCTGACTATCACAGGAATTTTAGAAAGCGTGTTCAATCTGTAGACAATGTTTCATTTTAGACTTTTGACAATTATAGTAGATTTTTACACAATTAACAGAAGAAAACAAATACGAAGATAGAAAAATAGTCAAATAAAATACGAAATCTATCGATGCTGATCACACGAAATTCGTTTGATTCTCATGGATTGAGATGAATTGTGCGAAGACGTTTCTTCAATAGATCGAATCGTTTGATATGATGCCACACTAAAACACATATTCAGATCATTGATGATATTCTCCAGTCCAATCAATCAGCAATGCGCCGCTGTTATCTTTCATGACTAGACATGTCTATGGCGATGAATAATAAAATGCCATCAAGCTATGATTACTTGAAACGGTTTAGTTCCATCGATAGAACAGCTCATTTCAACAGAAAACTCATGTTTATCGACACACTCTGAACCACGTCGCACGAACATATCGTAGTATCGTACAATGTCGGATAAATACAATGGGTTGTGGTTACCTGGAATCGACAACAGTTCGAGTATTCCGCATCATCATCTTTATACAAAAAAATATAAACTGATCTCCTGTCTTGAAGGTGTTGGTGTAGGAATATTCATACGATTTGTCCTGATCTTCACTGACACATTATACCTCTGCCCGTTGATGTCCAAATGGATCTCAATATGCAGAAGTATACATTAATTTGTTTCTAGGTGAAATCAATCTTAACATTGGTATCATTATCTAGAGTTCATACAAACTTCAGTTAATTTCTTTCAATAACATATAATTGAACATTGCATTTTTAGATAGGTCTTGTAAAAAGTTGGTAAAATCATTGGATAGTTTATTAAAACTGTTCATGAAACGAACTCTGACTCGGTAAACTATCATTGATTTCAGATCAGAACAAGAGATCATTCGAAGATAGAAAAAAAAATAAAAAATAAAACTTAAACATAATATATATCTATCAAAAAGTACTCTAAAAATCAAAACTTTTCATATTTATTTGATAGTATCAGAAAAATAATTTTAGCTCTTTCGATTTTCGATGATGTTTTCAGCTAAAATGTTTCGTTGAGAAATGTAAACATGATTCAGTTATCGTTTAAAATCCTGTTCATTTTATACTTTTTTCAAAAAATGTATATTTGCTAAGGAATAGTCAAATCCAGTTGAATACCGGATAGAAAGTTGGAAGAAAGCTTTGAAAATATTCCTTAAATTCTAAAAGATTTCTAGAGTATATTATTGAACATTTAAATCATTTGCTTGTTTTTATTTTCTTAATTTTAGTAAGTAATAAATTCAAATGATTAACTCTTTGAGTATGAGATTATTTTTTAAGCAACACAAATTTTTAAAATTTATTTTTAACATACTATGTCTTGTTTCACTTTGGAAGAAAAAACTTATGAAATCAATGCACAAATATATGTGCAACATAGACTTGCATTACATTATACGAAATAATCAAAATATAAATAGTAATACATAAATTTTGAGTTCGTTGAAAAAACTTTTCTATCATCATTATTTTTAAAGACTCGAAAAAGATTAAACTTTAACATATAAGATTATATAACGAAAAACTTATTCATGTATATTTTTATATCTCTCGCATCATCATCATCTTATATTGTATGAAAATATCTTTATTAATAGAGCGACAGATACAAAAATATACAGTAACTATCATCTAGTTGAAACACGTTAAATATGTCAATCTAGACTTTTTCATATCAACAATAACAACAGAATGGGTCAAATGTACAGAATCTGCATGTGTGCATCCACATGCATTAGAAGAATTTTTTAATCATTGAGTACATTCCTCCTTCGACACGTATATGTTCTATATTAGATTTTGTTTAACTTAATTGTTTTCTCCGAACATGATCAGTATTAGAGCATTTCCTTTGCTTGTGTCGCTATTAAGATTCAGCTTCGTTTGTTTCCACAAGCTGTAGAAGAACTACCGAGACTAAAGTAACTTCTTAGCTCATTTCGTCACCTTTCTCATTCTCACCTTATATTAATAAATTTTAACAGCAGATTTTGCACATCTGTTATGGGTTAACTTCTTTTGCACAGAGATTAAAATAAATATTTTGATATGGTTTTATACAAATATAGACAAATTATAATCTCATGAAATCTACTTTTGTCTAAACAAATAATCAGACAAAAAATATATTCAATAGAAAAAGCATAAAAAAAAAAGGCATTTGTTCAAATTTTTTTTTATGAACAATAAAACAAAACATTTGCTATAATACGAATTTTGATTATCACTGATATATTAAACCAACAAATCACACAGACTAGATGTTATTGTATCGAAAAAAAAAAAGAAAAACTACCAACGATTAACAGGAAATATTGTTTTAGTTTTCTTCCATTTTGGATCAAATTGTGCAAGAAAAGTATCTTTTGCTAAAGCATCAATTAATTCTTGATCAGTATGAATAGTTAAAGATCTTGCATGTAACATTATTCTATGTGGTTTATAATCAATAGGTTCTGTATAAAGATAATCTCCAATAATTGGATGACCCAAATAATTCATATGTAAACGTATTTGATGTCGTTTGCCAGTTAAAATTCTGACAAGTACTTTCGATGCTGGTTTTCCATCATATTCACCATGTTCTAAAACATCAACATGAGATTGTGCAGTTTTTGGATATGTACAATATGGATGATCATTTGTACACATAATACGTCCATAAGATGAAGCATTCTCACCAATTGGTACATCAACAAATATTGGATAAGGTGTATGTAGATGACCATGAACAAGAGCTAAATAATATTTTAAAACACGTTTATCAATAAATGCTTTATAAGCAAGAAAACTTGAGATTGTTGAACGAGCAAAACACATACATCCACTTGTACCTTAAACATTTATAATTTTTTGTTTTTTTTTTTTATTTATTTAAATTCTAAATTTTACCTAAATCAAGTCGATGACAATAACGAATATCTTCAATTTTTTGTGCTAAAATTTTACGCCATTGTTCAATTTGTTGTTCAGTAGGTGATGGTTCTTGTTTTAAAAATTTTTCAGTTTCACGTTTTTCAAACCATTTTTTAACCTGTTGTGTTACATTAACTTGTGATGGAGCATCAAATGCATCAATTGGAACAAGATCATCTTTATTAACAACAATATAATTTTTTGATTCATATACAACTTGTATATCATCATCAGATGATGGATAACGATAATGATCTGATCTTTGTTGACGATACCATTGAACAATAACTGAATACCATGGAGAACCAAAATAACAAAGACGTGAAAATGTTGCACATGCACCACTTACATCAACACCAAGTAAATTCATTTTTTTAGCTAATTTCTTAAAAAAAAATTTTCTTCTCTTATTTTTATTACGTAAAACGAAAAATAAGTCTTGTTTTTTTTTCTTTATTAAAAAAAATAAAAAATATCACAATCAATATACAAGAAAAAAAATGTTACAATTGAATATCGATAATTATTTCACTAGTCTAAAAGAGAATAAAAAAATTTAATTTTTGTTTATATAAAAAGAAAGAAAAATAACCGTTCATAGAGAAAGTGAATTCGTTGATGAGATTAAGATCATTTATCACTTGTCTTCTCGATATCTTTTTGAATAATTTTCACCGGAAGTTTAACTACTAGAGATTGTATTACTGTTGTTTGCATATGACTTGTATCACTTTTTGTCTTAAAATATTGAATAAAAATTATTGATATGAAGAAATAGAAAAGAATTTTCTTACTTCAATATTTTCTGATGGATTTAAATAACAATCAAATAATGATTCTTTAAATAGAAAAAAGGAAAAGATCTAAAAGATGAATAAATCGAATTAAATTACTTACTATGACTTGTAGATAATTTTTCATTATTAACATTTCCCAATACACCATCAGACATCATAGGACAATAATCTATAGATGAATAAGATTGATTTATTTGACTAATATTTGGAGAAATATTGAAATGAACAACAAGTTCATTAATAGCTGATGAAGATTGTTTCTTTTCGTTCTGCTGTTTTTGATGATTATGATCATGATCATCTTCTTCTGATTCTAATTTTTTCATGTGTTCATCATTCTTTTAAAATATAAAAGAATTAAATAACGAAATAATTATGTTGGCCTTACTTTAGACATTTGATATTGATTATTTCGATCTTTGAATGGAGAACACTTACCAATGCATGACAACATTATTATTATTATTATTTGAAATGAAATTATTCATAGAATCCGTTTCGTTCGTTCAAAGAGATGAATCATAGTCAATTCATGACTGGTGATTATTCAACCATTCTTATTAATTTTTGTCTTTTTTTTTTCATTTAATTTTTGTCTTAAGAAAATATTTGTTCGAAAAACTTCTTAATAAAAAAAATTTATTAAAATGAATTTTTTTTCTTTTGTTGTCAATCATCGAAAAACAGAGGTCGCCTTATAATCATTTGTTTATTTACGTTTATTTTGATGTGAAATAGAAAAAAAGCAAAGAGCACAATAACAGAAATTTGTCTTTAACTTTACAAATGTTGGCCAAAGCTCTTCGTCCTTTGGTAACCATTAAAGCTTCACCATTGTCGCTCACAATTCGACCATTATCAATTTCGAGCATTTTCTTTCAAGATGCTTCATCAAAATCCAAGAAAAAAGGTATTTATTCATCTTTTATTCTTCAATAATAATAATAATAATAATCTAATTTAGATGATAAGTCATTAGTAGAAAAGAAAAGTGATGAAAAAGTTTTAAGAGTTGAAGATTCATTAAAAGATTTATCATCAGTTAAATGGCGTACTGAATATAATGGGAAACGTTTATGGCCTCATGATCAATGGCCAGAACGTGATTTAGTTAATTTTCCACCATATAAACTTCGTGAAGTACCAAATTCAGTTCGTTGGTATTGTGTACCAGAATCATGGTTTAAATTTTTTTATGAAAAAACTGGTGTTACTGGACCATATATGTTTTTTTATGGTTTACTTATTTATGGATTTAGTAAAGAATATATCGTTTTATGGTATGATTTTACTGAATATCTTATTTTGGCTGCAGCAGTTATTACTGTTGTTAAAAAGTAAGATAAATTTATTATCATAAATTATGATTCTATAGATTTCAATCGAAAAAACGAGATGAATTCTGATTATAAAAGATTTTTCTTTTTGAAATTTTGATATCATATACAATTAATATCGATTGTTTAAGTTGATGATGTATTTTTTTCACAAGAATATGAAAAAAAAACATTAATTCTTCTCCGTTCAACAATATTTTTTATTATAACACATAAAGAAAATAAATTGATTTTATTTAATAGATATTACTCGAAAAATGAAAACAAGCAGATAATACTAAAGAGAAATTTACAATTAACACAATAGTGATGTTTTTCTTTGAAATAAAAATAACAATAGCATTAGTTCTTTTAAGATTTTCTGAGATAAATTCAAAAAGTACCTAAATAAAACCAATAGTTTTAATTTTTTATTTCACTTGATCGAATCGTTGAATTATATTTTATTATAGACGAAATAAATTAATATTGAATTATCTCTTAGCTTATATATGAAATCTATTAGTTTCACATTTTAGACTCCAAAGATTGTACTAAAAAACTTTTTTACCAATTCCATGAACTTAAGGAAGCCTCTTCGAATTGATTTATCACTTAGAATGGATCGTTTGGGCTGAAATTTTCAAGAATGAGTAGTCCTAGTGAGAAATGCTTGTGGTAAAAATTGTAGTCTGATATACCCTACTAAACTGAACTTCCGGCTTGTTTTCTTATCTTCTAGGAGAATTAAAATAACTCCGTTGTTAGAAGGATTACAGAACTCGGGCTAGCTTCAAATTAAAGCTAGCTTCTGTGCGCAACTTTTCATCGGATGGAATTTTGAAACTTCCTTCTATTCATTTTTTATGACCATTTTTGTGGACATGGTATGACAAATAAGTATCAAAAATTCCTCCAATCAAAAGTTAGCTCTCATTTAGACCTTTAAAACAAAAACAACCATTGGTGATACCCCGAGCTGAGAGGAAGTTATTTCAATTTTCCTGTCTAGAAATTGTGTTTTGAGAAAAACGCTAAAGAAAGTTTAGAAATGGATTTTTTTCATTCAAATCCAGAACAAATCATATTGCAATGGTGTATTTTTGAATATATTCCAGTGAATCATTGTAAAGTACGTAATAGATGAAGGTAGCTAACGCCATCTGACATGCTGGTTAATATAAAAATATTCTATTCAATGATCATGCACGTGACAATGCAGTTTTTCTAAAACTGTAAAACTTTAAAAATTACGAAAATTTTCGCAAAAATATTGTAGTAGAATCAAAGTTTCATGTGATAAGTCTTTGAAAATCTGATCATTTTCCATATATTCTGAAAGAAGAAGTTTCATTGCGTCTTCCTGTGATAAAAACTCAAACTTTGAAAAATTTGATTTTCTAGGAAGCTCCTTAATGAAAGATATTGTATAATTAAATGTTGATTTTTTTTCTCTGTTTAATAGACTTGGTCCAACAGTTGGTGATGTCTTTCGTGGTTGGCATCAAGAAGAAGTTGATCGGTATAGTTCAGTTGTTAGTAATTCAAAAGCCATGGCTGGAAAAGTGTTACATGCATATGAAGATTCATTAGAACGTGCTAAAAGTATTGGACTATTAGCAGATGCTCGAAAAGATATAATTAATATGGGATTAGAAGGAGCATATCGTGAAAGAATGAAACAAATGTATGAAGCTGTTAAAAAACGATTAGATTATCAAGTTGCTCTTCAAAATGCACGAAAAGATTTTGAAAGAACAAATATGATTAATTGGATTACAGATCAAGTTAAACAATCAATAACAGCTAAACAAGAACAAGATGCTTTACAAGCATGTCTTCAACAACTTCGACAAATCGCTTCATAATCACGATAAAATTTAATCATTTTCGTAGACTATTAATCCGTAAAAATTCTTCACATTTTTTTTTGTCTTTTGTCCTTGAAATCCTTTCCAAAGTTTAGAAAATAAGTGGAAAAATAAACATTACATACATTTTGCTTCTTATCTTGTATAAATTAAAATACAAATATATTAGAGTGAATATTTTGTTTTTAAAATAAGATAGGAACTTATCCAATTAAAACAGAAACAAACAAGGTAAATTTAATTGAACATCGAATTTTCTTGTTAAAAGAATATCTGATTTATTTTGTAAACAACATTTTAGAATTTAAATTATGAAATGAGAATAAATCTTATAATAAGAATTACTTTTTTTCTGTAGGAAATTAATCAAAATAAAAATTGACTTCTCGTCAAATATGATTTATTATTAATTGATATTATTTAATCATATATGAACCACCAAGTCGAACTTTTCTTTTTTTCATATATTTGACATGCACAGATCTCAGAATGAACACATTTGAAACAATCGACTAGAATAAAATAATAAAAACTTTTCTGCTCAAGATACAAAAAAAAATGCTCCTTACCATTGAGCATGTCTGAATCTATTTACTCATGTATATTCACTTGTTTGACCTACTTATTGCAGGTTTTATTGTTTAACCGATGATTTTTTTTACCTATGAGTTGAATCACTCTGAATATAAAACTGAAGAAAAACATGTATAACATATAATTAAAATTAGTTTCACAAGTCACAGATATCATTTTCACAGTTGTGACAGATTACTAGATTTAATATCGTTAGCTTGTAATGGAGATGAACTTTTTTTTATAAATCTGTGTAATTCGTAATATTTTATATAAAGTATTTTGTTTGTGATCACTTTTACACATGCTGGAATTCGAAGTTCAAGCATTTGAACTTGCCAAAAGACATCAAGATGTGTCCATATCATATGACTTTCTTGTTTAACATAGTCAAGTACTTCATGAATATGAAAGAAAAAAAATTCGACTAGGGTTGATAATTATCTATTACTTAATAACAGCATAAAAACATACATGATTTTCATAAATCTATTTATCCATTGATTTCAATTGATTTTTCAAAATCTTCATTATCAATCGCATCAAATATTCAACAAGTACGAAAGTAATGGAAATAAGTCTCATTCAATATTATTCAAGATTGCAACTAAAATATACTTTTTCGTATTTTCATTCTTGACTAGTTTAAGAAAAAAATAATACAGGTGGTTTGCCTCTCAACACACCTCTAAATGAAACAAGGTCATCTGTCACATGCTCGATTTTTTTAGATAAAGAATAGCTTAGAAGGTATATTTCGGCTTCTATGAAATAAGAAGTAAATGTACACTATGCAATTGTTTAAAGTTTCAATTTATTTGTATTACTTAAAACAAAACAAAAATTTCTTATTGAGCTGTGTTACTGAGAGACACCTACAAATGATAGTATAGACCTTGCTTCTCTGTCGCTAGTATCTATCGAATCATGTGAAGATGGAAGAAGATACTTGAGAAAAAAAAGACAATTATTATCTCTCAATGTATGACGTAAGCAGTCTAGAATGAAAATCACGTGTAAACTACTATTTTGTCTCTTTTTCTCTTTTCATGCTTTTTTTTTTATGGTAGTATATTACATTAATAGACAAAAAACATTATATTGTCTGTCCTTTTCTACTTATTGTTTTGTGTATACGGTTGATGCGGTTTTTTTGGTTAAAAATAAACATAATGTATTTTTCTTTTTGTTTTTTTTGCTTGCATTTTTCTTAAGATACTTATATTATAGATAAATGATATAAATTCTCTGTAAAAGTCTTTGGCCGAATTGTTAAAGTAAATCAGGTGAGTAGAACTTACGTAACTTTTGATAAAAAGGAAAAGGGTGTGTTTTTTTTTCATTTACTTTTCTGAGAGAATATCGAACAAGTTTGTTGTTTTTTTTTGTTCAAATTTATTGTAATGATGGTAAGAAATAAGGCTCGTGTTGACTTTTGATTGCTAATAGCTCATGATCAATATTATGATCTAAAAATATTCTGATGATTAAAAAAAAAAAAAACTTTTTAATTTAGTATGTCTCCTGGAGCATTTAGTTGTGTATTCCGTTCAACTGTGAATACAGTTTTCAAACGATTTGGAATATCATTATTAAAAACTCTATTAATTTATTTAATATCATTATTATTTGTTCAA